ATAAAATGTTTATAGTATAAATTTTTTTCTTTTTCTTTTTAATATTTTATTTATTTATTTGACAGAGAGAGAGACCGTGAGAGAGGGAACACAAGCAGGGGGAGTAGGAGAGGGAGAAACAGACTCGCCGCCGAGCAGGGAGCCCAGTGTGGGACCCGATCCCGGGACTCCAGGATCATGACCTGAGCCAAAAGCAGACGCTTAACGACTGAGCCACCCAGGCGCCCCTAGAGTATAAATTTCTAACTTATAATATAAACATGTATATTTTAAAATAGGACCAAATATCATATTTTAAATACGTGTGTCTTACATAGAGTAATATATTCACTTTTTAAATGAGTTAATTTTTATAAATGAAATATATACTCTGTAGGCATTTTTTATTTTGAGACAACATTAGATTTTCTTTCTCTGAAACATTTTTCTGTCTTTTCTAGGAAGTTATTTTAGGTTATATGAAAGAGGTGCTTCCTCATCTCTAAGACTTAGCAGAAACTCCGACTTGAAGAGAATAAATGGATATTGTGCCAAACCACAAGAAAGTCCAAAAGCTCCACCCTGTAAGTTTTTATTCATTTTTCCAGTTATAGACTAAGCAGTTCCCAAAGAGTGAAACAACTTGGAATCAAAAGAACCTAAAAGACAGGTTGTTCCAGGGGTTCCTATGTCCTACCCTTTCTTATAGTTCATGCCTCCCAAATTGTACTTATATTGGCTCATATGAAGCAATGCTTTCTTCATTTTCCTCATCTGTCCTTTTTATCTCTTGTTTCCAGGATTAGATTGGAGCTTTTTGTTGGAGAATAGAGGCATCAAATGAAATAGTGATCTAGAATTGGTCTTTTAAGGAACCCCAAAGATGAACCAAATTGGGAAATGATATTTTAGGTACAGTATAACTAGGGCTAGCCTCTGGCTTGGGCATTAATTTCAGCCATCGTTAGTCTTATTCTTGTCACTGTCCACTGTGGAAACAAGGAGTATAATATATAAACTGTAGGGTCCCATGAGCTATTTGCTTCTTACTTCTTCATGGGAGTATACTAGAGTCAGGCAGGTCTTGGTAAATAGAAAAGAACTATCCTCAAAGAATATTTATCAAGAACTTAAAAATGTTTATACCCTTCAACCTGGTATTTCATTTCTGGGGATCTAGCCTCAGGAATAATCTCTATTATAGAAAAAAGCTCTGAGTGTAAAGATGTTCCCATATTTTATATGTAATAGGAAAATGAGAACTAATCTAAATGTCAGATAATCTGGGAATGATTAATCATGTATGTTAGATCTACTTGATGGGATTATGCAGCTGTTGGAAATGGTGCTTGTAAATACCATGTATTGGCATGGAAAATGTTTGTCATAATGTCAGTGAACAAAGCAGGATACAGAAGTTTATATTGTGTGTAAGCATAGCATGATACACATATAAATATATAAATTTATATAAATACACATATAAATCCCCATACTTACGGGGATAAGACTTAGGAAACACTACCAAAATAGAAATACAGTGATTATGCTATGACAGGAGCATTAGGGATAGTTTTTATCTTCTTTTTTTACATCTATACTTTCCAAATTGTCTTTAATGTACTTAAAATGAAAACAACAAAAAAATAACAACTATAGAGCTATGCCAAGTGCTGGAAGGGTTAAACGATAAAACTACAGCAATGCTATTTCTGTACTTCTAAACCTCTTCTCTCACCATCAGTTTTTTATGGATTTTTTTCCTAGTGACTTTCCAGTTCCTTTTGCTGTTGCATTCTGAATAAGTGAAAAGAACAGCACAAGCAAAGGTGTGGAGGTGGGAATGAGTATGTCGTGTAGGCAGCAGTGAAGGAGATGGTCTGTCTGCAAGAGATGTAGGCAGTACATGGAAGTTGGATGAGATTATCTCCAGGGTCCTTTCTAACCCTAACATTCTGTGATTCCCTAACTTTTTCTGCTCCTTTAGTGACTTCTTTTTTTGAAAGACTTTCTCTTCCAGTCTGCTGTTGTGTGCCTTTCTTATTCATCTGCCTCTTTGGCCACTCCATTTTCCTCTGCTGCACCTTTCTCCTGTCTCCTCTCTTGGGTCTTTATCACCTTCACTGGCTCTCCCTTTGCACCAATGATTATCTCAACTTTGACTTCATTAATGAAACCTATTCAGATGGCATAAATTTAGACTCGATATTATGTAAAATGGCATTCATGCCTTTTCTTTTCCTAACTGGTTCTTTTCACAGTCTCCTTATCTTGGTTAACAGTACTGCTGTTGTCTTACTCATTCAAGTTTGAGGTTCTTCTTTGATTCCTTCCTGTCTTAATTTAATCAGCCTCCAAATCCTTTCAGTCATCTTCAGATGGACTTTTTTGTCTCTGTTCTCACCGTTACAACTCCAGTTCAGACCATACCACCTTTCTTGCATTACAACCTCCCATTTGAACTTGTTGCCCACTCTGTCCTATCCTTCCTCTCTTCCATCTATTATGCAGATTAATCTTCTAAAACATTAACTTCTTCCTTTCTCTCTTCCATCTATTATGCAGATTAATCTTCTAAAACATTAACTTCTTCCTTGCTTCAAAGTGTACAGTGATTCCCAAATCAGGTTTAAAAAGCTTAGCCTGGCATTCAGGGTCTTTTGTAATCTTATTTTACCTAATAACCTTTTTCTTTTTCTACTGAAGTCAAATAAGCTTCTCATTGTTCCCTTCTTAGTTCTTCTTAACCTTTATATCTTTGTTTAACATGGTGTTCTTTCAACTTTCAATGGCTAGGAAATAATACTTTTATTTTACTTCAGTCCCCACAGAATTTTGGAACCTCGTTTGAGAAATGAGGCATCCTAAGAAATTCCATTCAAATAAAGCTCTAATTAGCTTGAGGTTTCTCAATGTTTCTGTTTCATGAATAGCTAAAGAGCATAAATAGCATTTTTTTAATTGCTAAATTTGAGAGTTATAAGCTCAAATAAGGAATCTTGTCTTGTTTTTCTCATAGACACTTACAGCCACAGAGTGCCATTACACAAACCTACACACTGGGAGAGGAAGATCCTGGTATGGTCAGGTCGCTTCAAAAAGGAAGATGAAATCCCAGAGACTGTCTCGTGAGTGCTAAACATAGGGGTTATAAGCAGCTTTTTCTTTCTCACTGATTTCAAAGGCAAAACAGTTCCTCTGAGTCTGACTATTTAAAAACTTTCAACCAAATTTTAGAATAGTTTTCACTTCTCAAAATGTTTCCTCTTTGGCAAGTACTTGCAGTAAAAACAGTGCTGGAAAATCTTGTATCTTATCATTGATATGTTATGTTGTGCCTAGTGGAGACCTGTCAGGTACTCTGAAGTCAACTGATTGATTTCCTCTCCGAGCTACAGAAATGTGACCAAGCAGTGATATTCACTGTTCTTAGCTTATTTTTAATCTGGGTATATCAGTTAGGTACCATTGACAATAAATAATAGTTATATTCTACAAAACCTACTAAAGTATTCAACGATAGGCATAAAAGTATTTAAGAGCAACATATTCTCTTTCTGGGATCCCAAAAAGCATGCTTCCTGTCCCTGTCACCAACTTCCTTAAACCCAGCCCTAGCTCAGGTCTTGGGACTTTTTCAGAGTCTGTGGATAAGTATAGATTCCTCTAACCCAGGGTTTCTCAACCCCAGTGCTATCAACATTTTGGGCCAGATAATTCTTTGTTGGTGGGAGCTGTTGTGTACATGGTAGGATGTTCAGCAGCACCCTTGCTTGGCATTTTCATCCCCCAGATGCCAGTAACACTCAGTGTAATAGGTCTCCAGACATTGCCAAATGTCCCCAGGGGGGACAAAAAACAAAAAACAAAAACAAAAACAAAAAAACCCTGATTGAAGACCACTGCTCCAGCCTGATGTTAAAGACCCTGATTGATTTGCATCTTGGCCAAGAGAGATGCTGAGAAGCAGTGCAATCTCCCCTGTGGGGCGTCATCCTTTTCAGAGACAGGGACTTGGGACAAAGCTCCTAGACATTCCCTTCTGGTGAGAAACTGTTCCTGGACCTTCTGGCTTCTGGTTTCAAGGCATGATTTTAAACGATCGGAGTTCATTCAGGGTATCTTTTCCCAGGAAGAGAAGTATGATTTGCTTTTTTGTTTACAAGGGCTTTAACAGCCATTCTGCTTCTGCCTGTCAAATTAAATAGCACATTATTTTCACTAAAATTATTTCAGCAGGAAAGCCCTGGTCCTTCTTAGCTAAAGTGACAGTGTACTCTCCTGGAAAACAAGAGCAAGCTGGAAATAACAATGATATTAAGTTCTTTTTTTTTTTTTGAGATTTTATTTATTCATTTGAGACCGAGAGATAGAGAGCACGAGCACGGGAAGACGCAGAGCGAGAGGGAGAAGCAGACTTCCCGCTGAGCAGAGAGCATGATGTGGGGCTCGATCCCAGGACCCTGGGATCATGACCTGAGCCGAAGGCAGACGCTTAACCGCCTGAGCCACCTAGGCGCCCCTGATAATAAGTTCTTGCGTGTGTCTTTCTTCCTGAATATTCCAGGAGAAAACAAGCTGCTGCATACCCATGGTCCTAATAGGTGCTATATAGATTTTACCATGGAACACCTTCCTCAGTCTGCCTTGGGGGTGGTTCCAAGATCCCCCTCAAGCCCAAATTACTACCAAGTCACCCTAGAATGTTCTGCTCTGAGCCTGGACAAGTGTTCATCCATATGCTGGTAGGCCTGAATAGGCACTGCTTAACTTGTCCATTCTGATTGCTTCCTATAGCATGGAGGGCAACCTCATGACCTTATTTAAATGCATTTTACTTTTTTAATGTAAAATACTTTTAATGTATAATAATACATTATATGCATAATAATACATTATATATATATAATTTTTTTTAATTTTAATATAAAAAAAATTTTTTTTTTAAGAGAGAGCGCTGGCACAAGAGCGGGGTGGAGGAGGGGCAGAGGGAGAGAGAGAATCCCAAGCAGGCTCCACGTTCAGTGAGGAGCCCAATGCAGGGCTCGATCCCACGACCCTGAGATCATGACCTGAGCCAAAATCAAGAGTTGGATGCTTAACTGAATGAGGTACTCAGGGGCCCCAAAATGTAGAATACTTCTAATGAAAAGTAAAATATATTACTTTTCAGGAGTATCACAGCACTTTAATTGGACATGCCAGTTCACATAAAATATTGTCAACATGGGTAGTTAATTTATGGTTGGTGGGCTCTCAGATGCTCTTAATAGAGCAATTCACTGTTCTTAGCAATTGTCCCTGGTTCCTCTCACCACCCTGCAGGCCCAGCTTCAGTGCCCGGAGAACTCCGTTTACACTGCTGCCTCACTGGGTCCCAGCTCTTATATCACAATGTCTATGCTTTCAGGCTTCTCCTACCACCTGCAATGCCTGGACCCTGTGCCTCCTTCCAAGCATTTTTATTATTATTATTTTTTAAAGATTTTATTTATTTATTTGACAGAGAGAGAGAGAACACAAGTAGGCAGAAGGAGAGGGAGAAGCAGGCTCCCCGCAGAGCAGGGAGCCCGATGTGGGACTCGATCCCAGGACCCTGGGACCATGACCTGAGCCGAAGGCAGCTGCTTAACCAACTGAACCACCCAGGTGCCCCCAAGCATTTTTAAAGTACTTTTTTCCTCCTGATTTCAAAAGTAATGTGTGTTAAAAATCTGGGGGAAAAAAGAAAGGAAAGACGGTAGTTAGCACTTTCATCCCATCATCTAGAGATAATCACTTCCTATTTACACCCCTACTGAGTAGGCCAGTGCTGTGTCAAGGGTCCATCTGGACTCTTCGTGCCTTGCCCTGAGGATATACTAGACTCACGTAGCAGAACCGCAACTCACTGCCTACATACAGAATCACAAAGGTGGAGTGGCCTTCTCTTTAGACTCTTCCTTGGTAGGCCTCTTAGCTTTCACACAAGAATGATAATCCAGTCCTCAATTTTCTGTTACGGCACCTGGGTCTGCATTCAGTGGACAGGTTCAAAGCAGTACTTGCCAAAGAGCACAGTCTCAAGTTCACTGTCATGCAGTTTCAGCAAAACATTAGTTAAAAGGTAAACATTAAGGGAGCATTGCTTAAAGGATCTTTCTGCTGTTTCAGATAGTCTCTGGAATCTATTCCTGGTTCTAAATCTAAGTATTAGATTTAGATTATTAAATCCATTCCTGGTTCAAGGCAGAGAGTGAAAACTTGGGTATAAAGAGCATATTGTTTAACTTTCTCCCACATTTGTTTTCTGAATTGTGATTTGTGTTGAAATACACGAAACTCATGAAGCTCATTGGAGTATCTGTTGTCAGGATATTGTTAGACAATCACTGGATCATATAACATCTTCTGAAGAACCCCAGGAAGAAACAGCTCCTATTTCCACTTTTAGCATTGGCTGCTGATGTGAAACTTGAAAGCCAAAATTGGGGACCACCATAGCAAGCATAGATTAATACACTTTGCCTTTTTTTCCCCCTTTGTTCCTGGATCCACTTTGTCTTGACGCTTTCTTCTGTTTTTCTTACTTTTAAGTTTGTGCTATCTTACTGGATGTTATTAGTAAGTTTAAAGTGAGTTGTGAAAATGCCTCATCTTCCCCAAAATCCTACAAGATTTCCAGGCCCCACATCTTTTTTTTTTTTTTCTATTTGTGGTACCACTCCACTTCTGATTTGTGGTACACAGAGTTTTATTTCCTACTGGCCACTTCAGAAAGAGAAAAATTAACTTTCTCTCATAATCTCATTGTGTTACTAGGTTTGAGATGCTTGATGCTGCAAAGAACAAGATCCGGGTGAAGGTCAGCTACGCGATGATTGCCCTGACAGTGGCAGGATGCATCTGGATGGTTATTGAGGGCAAGAAGGTGAGCATGGACTGCCTCTCTGTCTCTGTTTTCTACAAAGGATCTAAAGGAAATTAGGGGTTCAACCCTCATATTTATTCTCTTGAGAAGAGGGGGCTACTTTCTACATGAGAAATGATGAGAAACAAAATGAGACACAGCAGGGACAAACCTGGGATGTCATGCGTGGGCATAAATAGCAAATCCTAATTTGGGCAAGGTAAAGGACTAAATTAGTTTTGCATAAAGTAAAAAAAATTGTTTAGTTATCACAGATGTCATAAATAATATGAAGCCAGAAAAATGTCCCTGGTGTATTTAATGACGACACCAGCATGTCTGTAAAGCACTTCCAGTACATGGGCATATTTATCCACGCTCCAACTGCCTTAGCCCTGGTAAGCATTCTAGTCACTGTTCTGGATTTGAAGCCCAGCCACACTGGGCCATATGTGTAAGGACAATAGCTCCTAAACAAGTACAGAGGCAGTTAAGGCCAGAAATATTTGTTTTAACCTATATCATTATTAATAGCTATCATTAATTGAATACTCACTGTCTTCTAGGCACTTGGCTTTTCTTTCATTTGAACCTCACAATAGCATGACAAAATAGGTACTATTATTAGGACCTCATTTATAGATGAGGAAACATAGCTTAGAAAGCTCTGCTACTTTGCCCAAGGTCACACATCTCCTAAATGGCAGAGCCAGAGTTTGAACCTAGACCTAATTGAGGTGATAGTAAAATTGCTCCCACTTATTAAGGGCTCATTATATAGCAGGCACTGTTAAACTCACCACAATATCCTAAGAAATGGAAACAAAAAGGTATTCAATACTAAAGAGAGGAAAAAGGAAAAGATAAGGGAAGAAGGTAGATTTAAAGAAACAGGCCAGAAAGAGAAGGTGGAGGGTGTGGCATTTCTCTCGTGCTTGACTGGATGGGCTACTGTAGGACTGTGAAGTTTTAGAGGAAGCAGAAGGCACACGGAGGGGGCTTCTGGGCTCAGTGTGCCCACGGCAGAGCATTCTGGGCCTGCGCTGCCCTAGTTAATCAGCTGACATCAGTGTAGGGTAATGACATTCTTCCCAAACCTGCATAAATAATCACTTGTTCAAATTTGTTTCACTTTAGGCTGTCAAAAGAAACGAGTCTTTAACAAAGCTGAACTTAGAAAAAAAAGCTCGCCTGAGAGAAGCAGCAGCTCTGAAAGCCAAAACAGAGTAGCAGAGGTATCCGTGTTGGCTGGATTTTGAAATTGCAGGAATAATGTTGCAGCAATTAGCCTGTATTAAAAAGAATACAGTATGAGGATCCATTTCATGAAAGTGTGGTTTGCACAGACTTATAATTTCCCCCATTTCTGATATAGTGGGACAAATAAATTTCCTTAAACGGCTTGTCTATATTTTGTGGCTTGGATCCAGGTTAAATGCAGCCTTTCAGCTTTTTGGAGAAAATGAATGAAAAATGGGGCAACTTATTTAAACTTTAATATTAACTCTTCTTTAGAGAGCCAGAAACCATATCTTATTTTAATTTCCATTACCAAAGTGATTTTCTCTGCAGAAGCCAAAATGGCTTCTAGTTCTTTATTTCTCTCTCTTGTGTACTCATTTCTAGAGAGATAAGGAAGACCAGCTGAGTACACTGCCCAGGTGCATCTTGGAGAGCTAACCTCCCCAAATGCAGTGGTGCTTCTTGAGAGCCCTGCGAAGCAGCCCGATCAAACTCTGCCATCTTTGGGCATGCTGGCAGACAGAGGCTTCTCAGAGAGCAGTCTTGGAAAAGGTCCCTGTAAGGTGATGAGAGTGGTCTGGCCACAAGTTTCTGAGAACTCTGAAATCCCAGCACCATGAAGTTGCTTGGGGCCAGTAGTCACCTCTTCTACTCCATAGCTTAGAATTCCCAATTGGTCCTTTTCCTTTTACCTTTACCCTAAATTTCTCAATTATGAAAATCTTTCAAATGCATTTTCTTGTAAGTTTTGAAAGATAAGCTTTTGCACATGGTTATGTATTTCATTTACACTTCGGGATGTCAAGCCGCCTCATATTTAGGTATGGATGCTGGTTTCTATTTTAAGTGTTTCATATATTCTCACATGCCTCATATTAATGGATGACATGGACGACAAGTCCTCGTAGCCATCCCAACCTGCTAGTTTTCTCCAGAGGATTATAACAGATAGTAATATATGCAGCTGCACTGGAACTTGATTTAATAAACTAAGTAAAATGGAATGCACCACATATAATTTCATAATCTGGTGTTAATGATGTCTGTGAATATACTTTTAGAGTAATTTGACCTTAGCTTTTTAGATACCGAGTTCTTTGATTTTAATGTACTTCTTTAAAAAATAAGTAATTTTTCTTCATAGAACACTATCATTTTTAACTTCTAAATGAGTATTTTAAAGTGTTATCTTGGAGATTTATTGTAAAAAAAAATGTTTCATTAAACCAAAACTCACAAATGTTACCATGCAGCAAGAATTTTCATGATCATTTCTCATTTTGTGTCACTGTCCTGTTCAGTTACTTAGAGTAACTACCTCTTTATGGGTTAAATATAAATTTCTTGGCCAGAATTGTCTCTGTCTAATCCCAATTCTCCCACTACCCTCACATAATACCTTTTTGGCAGTCATCTTACTAATAACTCTAATACCTTATATTTCTCAGAACTTGTCAAGCAAATCGTATTTAATGAGCACTGTTATACTAAAGAATACCAAAAACATAAGACAGTTTAGCCCTGTTACTTTCAATTATTGTTGTACTATTTTTTGCTTAATTTCTAGATTTTTTTTTCATGTTTATCATGTCTCTGTAGGTAAAGTGGGCAGAAACCATTTTCCACTTTATATTTCCTATAAGCCCTGTCTGAATATAAAGTTAATACATGAGCCTATGGTCAGATACTTTTTTAATCAACAAAAGTAATAACAGTATGGGGACATGTCTCCAAACGTTTATTGAAAGTAGGCAAGGAATGAATAAAGTGGTGGTGGTATAATTCATTGTCATTCATCAAACATTACCTTAATCCCTTATATATATATATATATAAATCCATTTAAATATATATAAATACTGAGAATACAAAAATGAGTAAAACATACTTCTTTACAGAGCTCATAACTTACAGAAACATGGCCCATGAAACTGTTACAATACAAACTGGTAAAAGAATATTCTGAACTTTATATAACAGTAGCTATAGAAAGAAACAAAACCTAACTCAGCTGTCAGTTGTGGGTTGGAGTCAGGCAGGCAGTGCTGGTCCACAAGTGGTGGTTTCTGAACTGAGTTTGAAGCATGGGTAGGAGTTACTAGGTCAGACACATAGTGAAAGAGAATAGCCTCACCATTTAGACATTTAGCTTGCTTGATAATCATGAGGCACAATCTGACCAGGATAGTGACAAGTCCCTCAACAAAATGCCATTTATAATGTTTTGGTTTACTTTTAGTTTTTATCTCCATAAAAATCTTAAAATGTTTAACAGACCTAACCGTGACTTATTTTTCCCAATTTATAGACTTGATTCCACGGAACCATTTCATGTGTGAGTGGCATCTGCCATACATCTCCATTCCACCTAATCCCAGGCTTACGTTCTTAACTCATCTGATCTCCCAAACCGGGAACTCGAGTTATTCCAAACTCCTGCTCCCTTCATTTAATCAGTCATCCTATCTTGTAAACCTTACTTCTAAATATTTCTCAAATACACTGAGAGGAGCAGAATGGGAATCTGTTCAGGGATAGACATAGGAGTTAATACCAGACCTGAAGATTAAAAATCAGAAGTCGTAGGTTCTAGACTTGCTTTTCCAGTTGTCTTGCTTTGTAAATTTAGGTTATAGGTCTGAAATATTATAATCTAATTGTTTTGTTTTGTTTTTAAAGATTTTATTTATTTATTTGTCAGAGAGAGAGAGAGAGTGTGAGCACAAGCAGGCTCCCTGCCGGGCAAGGAGCCCAATGTGGGACTCGATCCCAGGAGCCTGGGATCATGACCTGAGCCGAAGGTAGACACTTAACCGACTGAGCCACCCAGGCATTCCCCCCCTCCCTTTTTTTTTTAAGATTTTATTTATTTGTCAGAGAGAGAGAGAAACACAAAGTTAAAAAGAAATACAAAACCATACCAAAATTAAGAGAAACCATCTTTTTAAATACGCTTTTTTTTTTTTTTTGCCAGCTTGGTTCTACTACTTGATTTCTAAAGGGTTTAGTAGTTACTCTTCCACAGTTTAATTGTTTTGTCATTTCCTAATGCTGCTGATGCAATGATGTTTTCTGTAGGATGACAAGCTGCTGAGATTACAACATCTGTATGACCTTGTAATTTCTGTACAATCTCTTTAGTCTGAAGGTTCCAAATGTAAACCAGATTATCTTCTGAACCAGACACAATCCATTTTCCACCAGTAACTGAAAAATTGGCAAATATGCAGTATTTCTCATTCTTATGACCAGTGTAGGTTTTCAGGCATCTGCCTCTGCTATAATCCCACAGTTTAAGAGTATTGTCCAAAGTTGCAATTAGAAGATATCTTCCATTTGGAGAAAATTTTACAAAAGAGATAGGAAGGTTATCATCATCAACAAGTGTTTTTAAACACTGACCTGATGCAGCATCCCAAATTCTACAGACACCATCATAGCTACCTGACACAATCAAGGACCCGCTACAATTAAAATGAACAGCAGAAACTGGGTCAGAATGAGCAGACAAAGTCTTGAGGCACTTTCCTGTTTTCACCTCCCATATTTTCACACTCTCATCAAAAGATCCTGAAATGATGAGATTGGATGGTGGATTGAAATTACAGCAAAAAACATAATTACTATGCCCCTTCAGCGTTTTCAAACATTTTCCAGATCTCACATCCCAAATCTTTAGCGTTTTATCATCTGAGGCAGAAACAAGGCGACTGGAATCTGATGACCAGGCAACATCTGATATTTCCAGATTGTGACCATAAAGTGTTTTCTCATACTTTCCATCATAGGCTCCCCAAATTATAATTACTTTGTCAGCAGAAGAACTTGCTAGCCATTCTCCATTAGGACTAAACTTAACCGATGATACTGCATCCGTATGCCCCACGAGAGTAAATTTAAGAGCATAGTTTGGTTTTTCAGACATTTGCTTGCTCCGATTGGCTGATAAGGGGAGGCTCGACTCTGCTTTAGCATCTTCTGCCTCCTTTGTCGCCACGGTTCTGAAGCTCCAAGTCAGTAGGTTAGGTAAGCGTCCGGCCCTGAACCAGGCAGCCCAATATTCTGACTTTCTGCCCAGCAAAATGAAGATAAAAACATCAGACTCAAAAATAAACGGTCTTTTAGGGATTATAATTTCTGGGCTGTCTTTAAACTACCCTATACAACGATTCAGCAGCACGGCTTGGACCACTTCTCTTTTCTCTTTGCTTCCTCCTTCGTAAACAAATACTTGAGAAATAATACTAGAAGGGTCCAATGCGCTGTAGGCAAGTGAGGTATGTTTTGGGTATTTTGTGAAGGTATAAAGCCGTGCAAAGTGACGAGGGGCGTGGGTGATCTACAAAAAGTATTTTTTCACCGCCCCTCCCCCAACTCTGAAACATTTAGAACACTGAGCAAGCCTACCAGTCAGACAGACTTTCGGTACTTGAACATGAATGAAACACCGCTTAAACAAACGATTTCAGGAAGTCAAAACAAAACAAAACAAAACAAAAACCTGCGCAGGCATCATGAATTACGGGCCGGACGGGCTGCAGTCCGCGGATAAGCACTGGGGCGCACCGCCGCGTCAATCCAACCCAGCTGGCAGGACGGCGGAGCGCATGTGCACTCCAACTTCGAGCCGACATGACCAATGGGAGAGGTCTGCCTGCGCTTGCGCAAAGGAAGGCGCCGGCGTTTCCTTCCGGTCTTCTTTGGCGGAGGTTGTCATACACAAATGCTGGACTTCCTCCTTTTCCTTGTGGGTAGGTGTATTGGGCTTTTCCCAGACCTGACTGACTAGCGTCGGTAGCGGTGAATGTTTCAAAGAACATTCATTTCTTTTTGGAAACCGTGTCACGAGAAAGAACTGAATTTTCCGATTCCCTTAGTGGAAAGTTAAGCCCACATTTGGCACCTAGCTAGCCGTCCATCCCGGTGACTAAGCATCTGCTTCGCGGGCCTCTTTGGTTCTGCTCCTCTCTACTCTTGTGGTATAGAGCCTGGTGGCGTGTACTTAAGGCTGCAGGTTGGCAAGGGGAGCTTAGCCGAATTTACGCCCAGATTATAAAGCTTCTGGTTTTAAAAGTTTTGCGAAAACGTTTCGGGAAGGAATGTGTTGTGGGCCTCCAAAAGCCCCTGCTTAGGACATGGTAGTGCCGTGGAAACGAGCAAACGTTTGTTTTAGCATTTCCTTATGCCTTAAACTTTCTAAGAGAAAAGGTCAGATCTGCATAGGTGCTTGAGACCGAAAAAGACCTAGAAGTTGGTGGAACGTGGTTAAGAAATGTGTAAAGTTAACTTGTAATAGGCTTTAGAGAGTTTATAAAGTTTTAAGAAATGTTTAATGGGCCTGAGAGTGCTGTATAAAGATGTATGCTTTTCAGATTAAGTTACTATCTTTAAACAAGAATAGGTTTACCGGGGTGCCTTTCTGGCTCAGTCCCTAGATCATGCGGCTCTTGATCCTTTTGCTCTCCGAGTCTCGAGTTCAAGCCCCATAGAGCTTACTTAAAAAAAAGTTTACCAAGGGGCGCCTGGGTGGCTCAGTCGTTAAGCGCCTGCTTTCAGCTCAGGTCATGATCCCAGGGTCCTGGGATCGAGCCCCGCATCGGGCTCCCAGCTCCGCGGGAAGCCTGCTTCTCCCTCTCCCACTCCCCCTGCTTGTGTTCCCTCTCTCGCTGTGTCTCTCTGTCAAATAAAATCTTTAAAAAAAAAAAAAAAAAAAAGTTTACCAAAAAATTGGAAGCCTGATGAGTTTCTACTTACCTGTAATTGCTCAATAAAGAGAGCTCAAGTGTGTTTACAAGGTTTCCCCCCTCTCCGAGCTGAAGTCTAGAGGCAAGTATCTTGTTTTTCTTTTTTTTTTTAACGTAAGCTCGAGTCGCGTGCTCTACCACTTAGCCAGCCAGGCGCCCCGCGGCAAGTATCTCTTGATGTTTTCTGTCAGCCAACAGTAAAAAGCATTTGGAAACAAATTCCCCTATCCTGTATTTATTAGGGATGATTGAAAGTCTGGCCTTTAAGTGAGGCACGACATAATTAAATCACCTATAATAATCGACTGTAGTGAAAACCTCATTACCTTAAGACGCTACTACTCTAGTTTGGAATTTGGACAGGCATTGGACAAAAGCTTTAGTCTTAGTGCAAATTAATGGTGTAACGATAACGTGGTGCTGGGAATAGGAAGAGCATCTGTTAAGTGGATTGGCACATCCATTTATATACATTAAATTAGGATGCTTCTTGGATATTTT